TTTACTTGATAACACGGCCGATCAGAGTCAGCCGCTCGTTTTATACCTTCCTCTCTACCAATACGGCTCCCTCCTTATGACAAGCAGAAACAGAGATGTGGCGTCTAAGCTAGTCGAACTGCGTAATACCATTACGGTCGAGCCTATGAATCGGGCAGATGCGTTCACCTTAGTGGAGAAGAAGCTGGGAACTCTGGATAAGCAGGATGACATTAAGACTGCAGAATCGCTCGTCAAGACACTCGGATACATGCCGTTAGTAATTGTCTAAGCGACAGCCTACATCACGCATAGAGCTCCGCATTATTTTATGCGACAATATGTCGACAAGTTTACACAGAGCGACCGGAAGAAAGCAACTCTTCTTGACTACGAAGCCGGGTAATTACGGCGGGACCGAGAGGCCAAAAACTCGATCATCATCACGTGGCAAATCTCATTTGACCACATCTGTCAAACCACACTATCTGCAGCCGACCTACTTTCGCTCATGAGCTTCTATGATCGCCAAGGTATTCCTGAGAACCTCTTACAGAGTCTGGACGAGAAAGAAGGCCCCATAAGTATACCAAAGCGACACCAACAGAGCCTTGCTTTGTACGATTGGGCCAGCGACCAAGAACCAAGCGACGAAAACGTTGAATCGGATTCTACCATGGATAATCAGTTCAAAAAGGATGTCTCGACTTTGCGCGATTACTTGTTTATCTCTGTAGTTAAAGACAGAAAGACATTTGAAATGCATAACTTGGTTCAGCTGGCTACGAGACAATGGCTTGAAGCCGCGGGACGGCAGGAGCAGTGAAAGTCTCAATTTATCCGTTGCCTCGACACCCGGCTCCCAACCGGAGCATATGAGAACTGGGCAATATGCCGGGCGCTTTTGCCGCACACCGTATCGGCGGCAGCACAGCGGCTGAAAGACAGAGTGTCATTAGAGGTATGGACTTTGGTTCTTTATAAAGCTGTATGGTATTTTATAATAATAGGCCAGGGATCTAAGGCGCAAATCATGGCAGAGGATGCAATGAAGTACAGAACAAAGATACTTGGGAGGATGCACGAGGAAAGTCTTGCTGCTATCAAGATAGTAGGCCAAGTGTGTAACCTAAGAGGCCAATGGAGCCCAGCGGAGAAGCTGTTTCGGGAAGTGATAGAGACTCGCAAGCTGAAGCTCGGGCCGGATCATACTTCCACGCTGACCAGCATGGCCAACCTGGCGTCGACGTACAGGAATCAAGGCCAACTACCAGAAGCTCTTGGTTTGATACGGGAATGTGTACGGGTTGGGCGAACTGTCTTGGGCGCTCAGCATCCACATTATCTATCTTTCCTGGGAACATTACATACCTTGGAGCTCAGGTATGCTGGCGTCGGTGCCAATTAATGGCTAGAGAAGCGTGTTTGAACTACAGAATATTTGGTAAGGACTTAGCCATCTAGTAATTGATTTCATTATTATTCTATTTAATTATTCGAATTCTTAAGTGATAACATGTATCTATTTATTGTTTAAGAGGCAGAGGATCATAACCGCTACCTTAATGGCATGGCTTGCAGCCCCTTCATTGTCACTTTTATAACGCTAGCATCTAAAAACAGCATGTAAAACAAACGATTCGAAAGCGTCGAGAGTAATAGCGATACAGAAAGCCAGACAAGTAACTGTGACTCTATCCCATATAAAAGTGTTAGTCCGGAAGAAGAGGACGACACAGTGGTTCAACAAAGTCGATGGACAGAGCTTGAAGAACGCCAACTACGGGGCTGGGTAATATAAGAGAAGGGATGCCCATGAATTGCGCACTGGTTGGGCCGAAGCAAGGGGGCTGTCTCACAGCATTGGGCTATTATGCTAAAGGGAGGCTGGGCGAGATAACGGGTGAACAGTGTCTATTTGTCGAGGTCTTATGTCTCGGACAGCATTCAAGTTTTAAACCTTTAGGTCCGGAGCCTTGTACTACCGGTTGTCTTCAGATACGGCTTGGCCTTCGAGATTCGGACTTTATCGCGGACCACAGAATGCTGTGGCGCTGATCGACGGTGACCAGAGGCCGTTCGTATGACTTTGGGTGGTACTATTTGCCATCGATTGTACGCTTTATCTTTATCACCGTTGCACAATGACGTGCGGATATCTGCCAACGCAACACAATGTTCTCCTTTCAACGGTCAACGGGTGGGAGGCATAGTTGTTGGAGTGTAGCAGCCAGCTCAGGATCGTAGAGTTGAGTTGAGTTGAGTTTATTTCACGCCGTAGGGGCTCTAGGCCTCAGATCCTCACCTGCACGCCAAATGTCTACAAGGATCTGAGGCCTAGAGCCCCTACGGCGTTAAATAAACTCAACTCAACTCAACTCTACGACCCTGAGCTGGCTGCGTCCCTCCCCCGCGGCCGCAGTCAGCAAGCAGCAGATTCGATCACACCCCTCAATGACCCCTTCGATGACGAGGTTCTCCCACTTTATGGCGAGTCTGATGAAGAATATGACTCGGAAACTTGGAAGGAGATTCAAGAAGATCAGGGAGAGCGTAGGAGTCGACAACCACACAGCAACAGTCTCACTACCCAAGCAATCGAAGTTATCCTAGACGAGGTTGTCCAGCGTTACGAAGCTGAATGGTGGGAAGAGAAGGAGGACGACCTACGGCACAAGGCACTCAAGACATGGCGTAGCCTCCGGGAGGGTCCCTATCGCCAATCTCTTTACAAGATATTCGAGGAGCTGCGGCATATCGACGAGCGCATTGCTGCCTTGTGGCGTCAGACTGCCACATGCCCATAGAGCACAAAAATCGAACTGGTATGTGGCGCCGCGAACCTGAAGCCTTCGGTCTGAGATCGACTCCGAGCCAGATGGCTCCAAGACCTAGCAAACCAGAAACACAAACCCAGTCGCGCAGTAGCGCTGCCACCGCGGCGCACGGGGAAAGCTGCCAGCACCAGTTTTGAGGACCATAGCACCGACACTGGTAAAGACCTAACGAGCGACTCCGAGGGGATGGTACAAACACATCGCAGAAATACAGCTTCCTGTGCTCCCAAGACGCGAAGTGCTGCTGAGCCTATAAAGCTAGCGCCTCGGGAAGTGGTTTACATTAGTAGTGACGACGAATCTGACGATGATCAGTCCTCACCCGCATCTCCCGACGGAAATGCCATACCGATCGATAACATAGATGATAACGCCAACGAGGAGGGACACCAAGACGAGATCGAAAATCTTGGCGGGCAGTTTGCCAATCGCACTATCTCTGCAAAAAACTGGACAAGCCTATGCCGCCTGTTTCAGTGCCGAGAGAATATCACTGAGCACAGACCGGTTGACTTTAAGCTGACTATCTCCGCCTACCAACTTTACGCCGTCTGGTGGCTGGTGACACAGTTTCCAATACGGGGTGTGCCGGGCGGCTGCCTTGGTGACGAAATGGGTCTAGGCAAGACGATCGAGGTGCTTGCCGCCTTTGTTATATTCGCTCTCATCAAGGCGAATCATGTAGAAGTACAAGACTTTTAGACGGCAGGTCGCACCGTCGATGGCCGTACACATCTGTCCCAGGACCAAAAGAAAATGATGGACTCCGTCTGCCTTAGCCAGCGCGTCTCACCTTATGGTCTACTTTGTCCTTGTGTTAAATCCGGACAGACATACCTGGTGGCCACCATGCTGGCGTCGCTGCCCACCATATGCTTCGTCCCTCCGAGCTCGATCCACGGCTGGCATTAAGAGTTTAAAAAGCTTATCGACGCAGGCCATCCTATCATGCAGCATCTCCACTTCTCCATTCTGTATAACGACTTCAAAGGAGATGAAACATATCATCACACCAGCGACCATGTTCGGCAGACCATGGCCAAGGCCACAAGGTGCTACGTCAACCAACGAAACCAACAACTTGAATGTCATCTCGAAGGCTGAGAGGGGCTTAGCAACTGGTTCTTGTTGGTCAGTTCGTCTGGGGCACCGGGGCTACACAAAGCTTATAACGTCAAAGGTGTCAGGTACAAAGCCAAGGATGATACAGACCACAAGGGCAAGGTGTTTATTACTAATGGTCTTGCTGCATTTTTTGTCTTTTTTGACGAGGCGCATACCTACTGCAGCTCTCTATCAAGTCCGACTCAGCCGTTCGCCCTGCTAAAAACTATCACCGAAAAGTCCTAGGATCCCACGGTCGCCTTCGCCATCTCGGGCTCCATCTCGGGCGGTGGTCCTGGCCAACTGACTAACATCATTGACCACATTCTTCGAGTCAAGGGTGAACAACAAGAAGGCAAGCCCAGCATCGACGGTGTTACCAACGTAACTAAGCTTGAAGATAAGAAAATTAACTGGGACTACCTGCTGCAAAAACACTATATTATAAGCAACCAAAAGACCAAGGATGAGGTGAACAAACTCAAGAAATCAATCAGCGAGTTAATAAAGAACCTTGTCCCCCATGTACTCATGGCCCGTCGCAATATGGACACCTTTCGCGGCCAGACTATTGGCGATGCCAGACGAGAAATTGTCGTACAATGCGTCGAGTGCAATATAGTTAATGGGGCTGGCCGCAACGCATTTTACAAGCTGACTGCCAACGTCCAGGCATATGTTAGAAAAGCTTTTGACGAGAGGCACAATGCTTGGACAGTCGACGGAAGGCGGGGTCCTGAACCTACCTAGCACAGCGTTGAACTCGAGTTCTTTGGTGGAGAGGGTGCCGCAGCGATGAAACTGGGCAGAAAAGGTGGTGATATCTGGACCCAGCTGCTTCGCGCGAACGTCTACCCCAAAGTCGCTCGCCTTTATCTGGACAAGCTCGTTATAGAGGAGGAACTTAAATGCAATAGCATCAATCGCCATAGAGATGAGGCCTCCTTGCTTGTAAGTATTGATGCCAGCAAAAACGACGTGCAGCGGCAGTTGGCCATATCCCCGTTCTGGCCATATCGCACACAGCTCATGAAGCAATCTTTAAAATTTGCCCAGCTCTGCCAATATATAAACGACATGATGGCATACAGGGACCGCCGGCCCGGCGCCGGTAATGATCCTGGCCCTGCTGATGGCACGAACATCCGACACATGATTGTCTTGTCTGACACGCCTGTCTCCAGCTACATCACCTTCATGTTACTGTGCGTCAAGTATCCGAAAGCCAAGGTGATGCTGATCAACGCACGCACACGCAAGGTGGCCACTGAGAAGACACCTGGATACGGGCGCAGAGAAATGATCGAAGACTTGATGTCCGACTGCACGAATCAGTCGCGCAATAAGATCATTGTCTCCACCTACCGTATCTATGAGACGGCGCTAAACATGCAACGCGCAAATTACTGCGTATTGTTAGAGCCTGTTTGCGATGCTAAAGAAAAAGCCCAAGCGGCTGCTCGCGTCAACCAACGGGGCCAGTGTATGCGGCCTATCACTGTGCGATTGCATGATGAACGTAACCTTTCCAAAACACTGAAACGCTCTCGTCATCAGAACCAAGACGACATGGAGAACTGGCAAGAGCAGGGCATTCCTTAGGATAACTTCCTGTAGTATCTTGACATAGGCCGTCGAAATTTGCTGTATCCAGCATGACAAAGGTTCAGAAGTTGATGTTTGTTCTGAAAAGGAAGAAATGGTATACTGTTCAGGTAGTTAAAGAGAAGACATGTTGCTGATGAGAAAATCTCCTAGTTAGAGTTGCTTGAAATGTATTAGTCTTTGAAAGAATAACGAAGAATAAAATGTTTCTGCTTCCAGATACTAGATAGTTGTCGAGGTGTTTACCGCTCGTTTGGTATTCTGACTACTTACGATGTTTAGACTAAATGTAGACTTGAACTGGCTTCCTGCTTCCAATTAAATCCCCGCCTCTAGGACCCAGGCATGGTTCCGCTTGCCGTTCGAACAGACGAAATGCTCAATGAAGTGCTTGTCTTTGGTGTTACGAACCAACAATGCCACGGCCCGGTGGCAGGCCAGGAGGACCCTACAGAAGGCCAATAGGACAGAGGACACCGGAACGGGACAAGAAGACACCACGGATTACATGATATGTGTCACGTAATCAAGACGGATCACGGAGTAGACCAGGGGGCATCACCGAATCACGAAGTGAACGAGCGTCACCCCAAGGAAGCAGTGCACACCTCATCAGTGAGGAAGAGATTGGATATATAAGGATAGACATTTCCTAGCTAGAACAGGTAGACAGTCTCTACCTCAGTGATCAATCTAAGCATCTTAGCCAACACTAAGGTGGGAGAAACCTCCTTACGACTCGACTACAGTGAACCCAGTTCCGATTAAGCCCAGCACCTCAGTGTCTTCTAGTTGACAGAAGCCTCTATCGTCTTTTGTGTTGACTTACCTCAGAACATAAACCCTATAGAACCCTTTAGCCTTATAGGTTAGACGGCTCGTCACACTTGTCTTTGGGCATATTCCAGCACAGGAGACAGTCTAGAGGCCGAGACAAGGGACTTAAAAACGCGTATTGCAATCGCAGCTGTCGCATCACAGGCTACTTCGAAAACACTGAAGTGGTCTATCTGGTCCCTTTTGCCGACAAAAAGTGGTTCGAGAGTAACAATATGGCCGAGTACTGCTGGCGGTAGGACGTTGTTAATACCATCGGTAACGAGTGCAGGTTGCTCTTGCGCCAGGATATCCACAGCCTCATGGACAAAAACCGCCTTGTCCTTGTGCCCAAACCGGCGGTCTCTCGTCGTCCCCTGGTGCACTACCAATACTCGTCGTCCATGTCATGTTTCCCAAGGGCAGTCTCGAGACTGCACAACTCTACCATAACCGACTACTACAGTCGCTAACAAAGGGCATCGGTCGTGAGTTTCTGCTGGCTCGCCTCGCGCGGGGAACTAATCATGAATGTCTCGTTCGTTGATATTCACGAGTACCACATGGGTCTTCGCAGCTTAGACTCGGCAGAAAAGCATCCGACCACCCACAGTGATGAGCCTGCTCACTTTGACCACCTGCACAATCTAGAGCATAGTGTGGCTACGCAAGCTGTCTAGGATTACTCGCAGAAATGAAAGAAAGGTGCGTCAAACACACGTGATCCTGACTTTATGTCACCTCCCTGCGAATTGGGTTCTGCTAGCAATAATTCCTGCTTCAAAGGAATCTTGTAACGCTAATAGCTCTGGCTTCTCTAGTATACACTCTTCTACCAAAATCCGCACATCCGTCTATTTTCTAGATGAGCCGACAAGACCAGAGCTGCCAGCCAATGCGATTTACTCATCTCCAATCATCTACGAACCGGTTCCACTGCGAGCGGGCGACTTCCTCGTACTAAAAGAGGCATCGGCCAGGCGGCGGGTTGGCGTCGCTATCACGCGCATGCTTGGTCTTCATGGCAATGGCCCAAGGTCGGCTGACGTCCAACCATATTATCTTTGAGGAGGGCATTTTAGGCGTAGAACAGAGTGGCGATACGAACATCCGTCCTATTGGCTCCAAACTTAGCATACGGGGCAGTTGATAAGGGTAAGTCTTAGTTGCTCCCTCTATTACCGCTGTGGTGGCGTTGATAAACTCTGTATGAACTAAAACACTAGAAAGTTTGACATATGCTCGACACGGTTGGCGTGACTGCCATTGGTAATCTAATAGATGGTGACAAAGGTGTAAAAGCAAGGTGGCCTGGTATAGATTTATACATGCATTTATTGCTACGCAAGACAGCATCAAAACGCGCGCAGGCTTACAGGAGGCCATCCGGATCCTCTATAATGCGGGAGGGAGAGAGAAGCACATGCTCTATCTAAACATCCTCTCGGCATGTGTATCATACCTCTGCTCGTTCTCATTTCCATTCTGTCCCTTAACCCTACAAGTCTCGCAGAGGCAACCGTCACCATAGTGATTTGGCCCGTAACTGACGGTGATTTCTGTACCATCCCCAATGTGCCTTGTGAATACAACTCCAACGACGTAACAGCCCAACACTTTTAACTGCCTGAGACAAGCCAACGGATAGCAGTCGTGGTTTAGAAGCCTGAAGCAGTTGCTGAACTCGCCGCAGTCAAGTTGGCAAACGACGGGCTCCCCAGCGATATCAGGCCTCATGAAGTCTATAACCCTGTCATTACTCTTGGTGTTAATAGGCAAGATCTTTCCAAACAGCCATCCGATTGTTGAACTCTTGGAGTAAACGATTTCTCCGTGGGTTCGCCCAACAGCCTGAAGGCTGAAACACTTCTCCCCGTAATGCTTGATACTCGGCCTTGTTTGTCGAGGCATATTAATGCAATGGCAATTAGCCTGGTCACAAAGGTCGCATCCAGCAATACCTTCGGACGTTGGGTTGGCAGGCCACGGCCAATCTTCCGGCCAGCCTGGCGGCCGGGGCCAGCTCTCAATTGATAGATAGATATTCTCTGTGACCGGCTGGACCAGCTGGAGGAAAAGAAGCAGTTTCTGTTCCGTTAAGGACGCCAAGTTAGACAAGCATCCGGGTATGGTTTCCTATTTGAATTCGAGACCGTCGAAGTCTGCTAAGGATTCTTGAAAAGCCTTGCCGACCTTACAGATAAACTGGGTATAAGTATCGTCCAAAAGGCGGTAAAGCCTTGAGGGATCCTGTAGTTCCTTGTAACTCTGAGGGGCAATATCAAAGCCATTCTGCCGTGATAGAAAGATAAAACACAAGAGGCCATCAAACTTGCCACAGACCGTATTCCACTTTCGGCCCTCGGCAAGGTGGGCATGGAACGGCTTTTTCCCAAGTCCAAGTTCTTCCATCGCCTTGCTTATCACTGCCGGATCTGCTCGGATGGCGCCCATTTTGGTGGAATCAATCTGGGCTATAAGCTGGCATTAGCTGAGACGCAAGATGAATTTCGCAAAGATCGAGATGCTACTAGCGTTTTTGAGAGAGGTAGCAATGCGCTGGACAGAGTCTTGTATAGAATTAAAGCGAAAGCTGTTGTCCGGGGCCCGCCTGCTTGCTACAAGCAAGATAAATTGCTTGATCGCTTCCCTGCTGCGAACTGCCGATGCCAAGAGAAGTACATCAGGACTAGGGGGGTCGTCTGCAGGACTAGGGGGGTTGTCTGCAGGACATGTAGGGATGTTGCAGAGCTTATCCACCGATCTGATCTGTGATACCGTCTGTGCCAGTTCAGGATTTGCTGGTAACCGCCCTGTCTTTGGAATCTTCGATGCTTTCTCAGGCTTTGCGTTATTGCCGGGCCTTTTCCGTGAAGGAAGGAGTGTTTTCTGCGGGCGAATGGCCACATGGCAACCTTCTCCTCTGGACTCCTTTCCGCCTTTGTGCTCGCCTTTATTCTCTCCCTTATCTCTGCCATCCTTGTCGTTTTTGGGTTCGTTCTTGTCTTCCCTGAATTGAGACTTATCTGGGCGATAAGACACATGAGAGTCTTCCGGTCCAGCGTCTTTGGATCGATACGCGATATCACTATCCTTAGACACGGCTACCCAGCAGGTAAATTATCATCCTTTTTCCCAGTTGTATGGTGCCCACCAGCAATTTCTGTGAGTTCTTTGATTCTCCCATCGTCGGGCCCAGAGGGTGGCGACGATGCGTCACTGGCTGATACGTCGCTGGCCGGTAATAGAGCCGAAGTAGAAGAGCTGCTTGTCCTGCTCGCACGCTTCTCAAGCGGGCGTCCTGCAGTCGCTGAAGCAAGCTGGCTATCTTGCTCTAGGAGGGGCCTATCCTGAATCACAGTGCCTGTTACGTCCTTGCCACTAAGAGCGGCATCGGTCGCAACCTGTGACGCACTTTGCCCGTGCTGGAAAAAATCTCGTTTGATCTCCTCAATGAGGCTCTTTTTTAGGACCTCTATATGTTTCTTAAGGAGAATGTCGATGCTGGTGCGGATACTAGACCTAGCTGGTGTCAGGTGATTAAAAACATCTTCATGAAATGCTGTCAGAGACAGATACAAAAACAACTATTTTTCTTGGCGCCCCGCTGTTAGTGCGCAACCTCTATATCTGCACTAAAACAGGCATTTATTTCAGTACCTGACTATCCTTGCCAAGGTGCAGAAAAATTTTCTCACAAGCTGGATGGCACCCCTTCACCATAGGCCACCAAATACGCCAGTGGCCGTCCCAAAGACGACTACTGGCGGCGTGCTCAAATCCCCGGTCCCTAAAAGAACATATGGCCCGGCAACCCCAAGCAAGCTCCGCCAGGCACTGCTCGACGACATCAACAGCAGCCCGTCACAGGTCTCTGAGGCTGACTTCACCATTGTTTCCCCTCTGAAAGGAAAATCCCGAAATATTAATACTAGCAGCATCATTGATATGGAAGTACCTCAATCAAACGAAATCTCTACAGACCAAGCTATTGGAGGCGATACAGGGAACAAGGTCTCTTCCTCAAAGTGCCAGGACCAAGTTGCCAAAATACTGGCTAAAGACAAGCATCTCTATGAAGCCAGGATAACAATGTTTCAGGAGTGTGCTGCAGCAGTTGATAAGACACTTGAGAAAGCTGGAACCGAACTATACTCTCATGCCAAGGAGTTCAGCGCTTT